CACTTAATTTGAGTGGTTTCCAGACAGCTGCCTTACTGCAAATGGCTCACCGTCACATGTATTCAGCCCCACATTTAAAAATGGTCATGGGACACTTTATCTAAATCTCCTTTGATGAGGTTTAGATAAAGTGCGCCCGTGATCATTTTAAAACATGTGGAGGCTTAATACATTTGATGGTGAGGTGACGCTGGAGCATTCTAGTTAGAACATGAACAAGCATGTGTATAGGCAGCCATTGCTCACATGTGGAAAGGGGACAGCAGCTGCAGCTGATACTTGTAAATCAGGGGCAGACAATTATTTCAGGTGGAGGGCCACTTAACGAGTTTTGGTGAGGTGTTGAGAGCCACAAGGGTAGGCCCACCCCTTGGCAGGTGCCTCACCCCCTGGTTGCCATCTTGTGACCGAAAGTCCTGCTCCCTAACCCCTGACCATTGCTGCTGGGAGTCTGTCCGCTTGCCAAGGAAGTATTCCTTTTGGGTTGGGGGGCTGTTTGCTTGTATATTATGTGTGGAGGGGTAGGGTTGTGTGTGTGGTTGGTGAAGTATGTGGCTGAGGGGATGTGTGGGTATGGTTCAAGTGAGGTGTGTGGGGGCATAGGAGGGATGTATGTGGGTGGGGGGTGTATGTGTGGATGTAGGATGTGTGTGTGGGTATGGCTGAGGTGTGGGACTTCCGGGTGTGTGTCTGTGGTTATGTTGCAGGTAGGGTGTGTTTGGGGTATCACATGGATGTGTATGGGACTGTTGGATGTGTGTGTGGACATAATGAGGGGGTAGGGTGCATGAGGGGGCATGTGTGGGGAGGTGTAGGCGTGTGTGTGTGTAAGATGTGGGTATATGTGTGTGGGGGGTCTGTGTGGTTGAGGTGTGGGGTGTGTTGGTGGGGTGTTTGTGTGTGTATGTTGTGTGTGGGTATGGTGGGGGTCAGGGTGTGGATGTATGTGTGGGATATGTATATTGAGGTGTGTGGTTGGGGTATGTGGGGCAGTATTGGGGGTGTGGGTATAGAGGGAGGTGGGTTATGTGAGGGGGTGTTGGTGCATGTGTGAGGTGTGGGTGAGTTGGGTGTGCACATGTGGGGGCTTCTCCCCTGCCTGCTCTTTGCAATGTGGCTGAGCCCAACCCTTTCGTGGATGGGGGTGGGGGGAAGGGGATTGGTGCTGTTTGTCTGGCTTGCCGCATGCTGCAAAGGGCAGGACAGCCGCTGCTGCCGCCAACAGCAACAAAAGCCCCTGCGAGAGGGGACAGGGGGACAGGGAGCGAAGCCTGGCATTAGCAGCTCTGTTAATCTCTTTCCCAGACCTGCCTGGCGGGGCTACACCAAGTGCATGCTGGCTGTTGCTGCTGCTCCCCCCTCCTGTCTGTCCCTGCCCACCTGTCAGGGCTGAGCAGCCGAGCAGCAGGTAGGGAAGGGAAGCTGCAGCATTAAGAGAGCAGTATGGGCTCTGCCTGCAACTCACTCTGGTTCTGCTCATGCAGGGCAGGGGAATGTGTGTGGATGGATGTGGGAGAGGAGGCATGAAGGAGCTCAGCTGCTCACAAAGCCCTGATGGGCGGGCAAGGACACACAAGAGTGGGGAGCAGCTGCAGGAGCAGTGTGCATTTGGTGTAGCCCTGCCGACCAGGCAGGTGAGAGAGAAGCAACAGCAGCAGGAGCCAGCCCAGGCTCATTTGTAGCCCCAGTGGGCAGGAGTGGGACAGAAACTAAGAGAGCTGGTGATGCCAGGCTCAACTCCCTGTCCCCCTTCCCCTCTCACAGGGGCTTCTGATGCTGCCAGTGGCAGCAGCTGCTTTCCTGCTCTTTCCTGAGTTGCTGGAGGCTGGGGGAGCCCAGCAGTTCCTTGGGCAATGGCAGCAGCAGGAGCCCTGCTTAGAAGCTGTGCTGCTGGTGAGAGAGGCTGGGAGCACAGCACACTCTGCCTTGGATGGGTCTCATCCCCAGGCAGAGCGGGCAGCTGCAGATGGGGCCAGATACAATTAGTTGGTGGGTGCCTGCCTGCGGGCCAGATCCAATCAGGAGGCAGGCTGGATCTGACCCACAAGCTGTATTTTATGTACCCCATTGTAAATCAATAAGGCCTGGCACTGTGTAAAGCCCTGGCCAACACCAACAAGTGAGATCAGCAGTGAAATGCACCAGGAAGCGTAGAAGGAGCTTTTATCTTGGAGATTTAGAGAAAACACCAAAATCTGCCCTGAAGTACAGCAGTGTAAATCAGGCATATCTTCACTAATCCCAGTGAAGTCAGTGCCAGCATGCACTGACATTTCTGCTGCTACAGGACTGATCCAGATCCACGTGCAGAGACCTATTTAAGATCATAAAACTCATCTGAGCTTAACTGTGCATGATCCAGGGCTTGCAGACCCTGCTCTTTCTAGAAGCAGAAATCCTGTGAAGCTGGAAATGTAGAGCTGGCAGTTCATGCGGTGCTTGGGCTGATTCCCATGGGATGCAGGGCAAGTCTCTTAGACTCCCTTATTGCTCCAGCTTTCATTCTGTACTTGTCCTTCTCTCCTATTTCTGGAACTCTCCTGTCTTGCTCTCTCACACTTATCTCCTCTGGCCCCTGGAGGCCACACCATTCATCCCCAGATGGCATTTCCCCCTGCCAGGGCCTGCCAGCTCCTACAAGCAGCATCTCCTGATCTTGCCTGCTCCATATCTACTAGGATTTTAGGGATTTAGGGGCTTTCTTATAGCTGTCATCTACAACAGAGGAGGCCCCTGCCCTATAGCCCTTAGGGCACCCTGACTCCCTGTTGGCCTAGCAGCTATCCTGTCTCCTTGCCCTGAACTGGCATTTAGTTCATGCCTGGACCATTCTCTGAGTTCTAGGAGAAGATGTCATCTGGGACTGGTTGGATCCATTACCATTTATACACTTCCTCATCTTGGCTACAAGAACAGGCACATGAAACCTAACCTAGTATTGAGGTCCTCCCCATGTTTTCTACTGTATTACTCAGAATCATTTGTTTTCTAACCTCACCCCCCAAAAAACAACCCTCCCCCCCACCCCCCCGCTCCTCCCCCACAAGTCTGTAGCTGTTCCCTTTGCAAACAGGTCTGAGTGAAACATGAGCTGTTATCTGACCTGGGCCTTGCAGAATGCTGCTGTTAAACCACAGTGCATTTGGCTGCCTCAGGGTGTTAACTTCAGCCTTATGTGGACCATTTATATAGCAGAGGTGGGAAGAATTGAAGCTTTGAGGTGAACAGTCATGTCATCTCCAGGCACTTGAAAACAACACCCATCTAAACTCTGGTCTCAGTGACACCCATACAATGAAATCTATCCTGGAGAGAGAAGTTAGAAGAGAATTGGGCCTGTACATGGGGAAAGAGAATGTCCAGGAAGTTCTTGACTGGGGGATAAACTTGAATGGGTGTATTTTGGAAATGACACCACTCTTCATGCTTCTGACTAAGAGCTGTTCACAAAGTAACAGGTAACTAGGAAATAGTTTCCTTTGGAGGCATGTTACACCAGTGAAACTTATCTGGAAATTGCCTCTGAAACATCTGCACTTGAGTGCTGGATTTGGTGAACTGTTTATCTGAACCAGTTTGGCAGTGTAATTCTTTTGCCAGGCACTGGCCAATGACCAACTTCCTAGAGTCCACTTATACTGATCAATTATCCGTTGGAAAATCACAACCTATGAATTCCAAACAAAGAGACCTATAGATTATGGGTGTGTAATGTGATATTCCACAAAGCTGGCAGAGCTGGCTTTTGTCCAGCAAAGCTGATTTATGAGTAGTATTTGCTGCCTGGTGGCTCTCTAGTAACAACACATCTATCACTGTGCAAATGGGTATTCCTGAAGCAAGTGTATACTGGTTCTGATTGTCAGAGCTGTGAACCCCCATGAGTGCCCAAATGGTTTGGCCCAAAGTGCTGTCACCCTCCCACAACATGGCACAGTCAGAGAGGCACATTTTTACTTTACAATTCCAAGTATTCCATTTCAGGAGGATGAGGTTGGATTGGTTAGTAATACAGTAACAAGCAAGTTAGCCATTTAGTCTCAGATAGTACCTTTGTTCCTTCTGTTCTGAAGTTTTTGTTTCACCTGCTACTTAGACATTTAAAATTTTTGTAGACCAGTTCCTTGGTGCTCATTCCTGGTGGGTTATAATACTGCAAAGGTAAGATCTTGCTATCATGGACTTTAGAGTGTAGAGTCTGCACACAAATCTGACCTTCATGGATGTTCAAGGGAGTTAGTATCTAGGTTATTTGATTTGGGCCAATTTAAAATGATACAGCATAACTTTCTAGAGGAAGATATCACACAAAGCTTCTGGGTAGGACTGTGTACTACATAAGCTGCCGGGAATATAAAGTCCTTTAATATAATTTTGTTTTGCTTGGACTAAACTTTACCAGCGAAGAATGTAAAGTTTATGTATATATAAAGAGCTAGCTTTAAATGAATTTTCCTGGGACCTAGAAGTAATCTAACCAAAGCATCACAGAACTCAGTATAGACTAATTTGCTCACTCTTGCCTCACGTTAAAGGGGCCTGAGCACCATACTTTCATAGTTGCTACTAGTTCCTGAGTGAGACGGATTACAACTAACTTGGCAGTATTGACATCTAACCTTTTTTACTGTAAACACTGCTCTTCAATCAGTACTACTGCAGTGACTGCTGCTTCAAGCCAAGAGTCCTATAAGCATTTGGGATAGAGACAGAAGTTACACATAGACTGGTATAAGTGATTGAAAACTGGTTCAAATCTGTAACACAACAGAACTTCAGTGTGCATTAATGGCTGAAACTGATTTAAGATAAACCTGGAGGGAAGCAGCATCAGATTTAACTGATTTAGGTTAAATCGGTTTATTGTACTTCTGCTCCAGATCCCCTCCAGATCCAAGTTAACTCAGCTCCACAGCATCCCAGGATGCTTTGCACCTTCCCCACAAATCCCTCCTCACAGGGTGGATGGGCTAGCCTTGCCCCAAGCTGTCTGCTTCAGCTGAGCAGGGGGGTATGCTCTAGCATCCCCCAGCTTCTGGCCTGGCCCACTGCAGGCACATGGCTGCATTTCTGTGAACAAAAGTGAATGTCTGTTCGTTCGCTCATTGGTTTAACTTACACAGCTTAGACTAACCTGAGAAGACTGAATCAATTTGGCCTCAGGCTTTTTGACACTTTGTACTTAGCCTTGGACATGAAACCCCTTTTGAGGCTGTTACTGCCTCTGAATCCACCCTACATCCACCAGTGCATCTACTGTTCCTATCTTGTCAAATTCCCAAGGTGTCTCTTATCATAGTATTGAACCTGTATGGGAAATATGGAAACATGTTGAGATCTGCCCAGGAAGACAAGCAATTCTGCATCTCACTTTCTGATTTGGTAGCTATATTCCATCTGTCTTTGATTTCTCTACCGGGATTTCATACACACTGTTTCTTTGGGAAAGTTGCAGTGAAGAAATCCATCTTACAATGTGGTCCTGAGACAGGAATAATTGAACCCTTCCTTTCCTTCCTTGGGAAGATTGATGAGCATGGGGCAGTTGAGGGTGTGTAGCCACACCCATCTTAGCTGTGCGGCACATGTGCAGTCAAGTCAGGAGAGCTGAATAAGCATGTGCCACATAGCCAAAAGGGTGCAGCCACATGCCCTTCACAATCCTACAAGCCCATGAGCCCTCTGAGATCCCTGGCATGTCAGTGCAGCTCCTGCAGGGATATCTATATGTGCCATGAGCTCACCAGCTGGACAGCGTGGGGTCTGGCCAAAGCCCCTGCTTTCACAGTTCCAAAGTGCCGGGAGTGAGCACCACCACCACCAGTCCTAATCTCTTTTCTCCTACTGCTGAATTCTGGGAGGGTGAAGAGAGGGGAAAGGGCCAACACTGGCAGCACTTAACCCTTGGATCCATTTTGAAAACAGCAGTACACTTGGCTGAAAAGGGTTAGGTATGACCCCAACGTGCTGAAACATTGCTATAAAAGTGGCTCCCAGGCCTGCCAAACTGATCCATAGGAAGAAAATTGGAGAAGGAAAAATGTCACTGAGAGCAAAATCTTTCTTAGGCCTCAAACAGCTCAGGTTGCATATTGGTACATTTTCTGCTGCATGATGGAGTTGATCAGTTTGTCAGTGTTCGCTTCTTAAAAGGTCAGAAGCAAACTATAAAGGAAATACAAATATTTTTTGAAGGTGTTGTCTCATACCACACAGGAAGCAACAGGCTTGTGGAGATTCATAGTGCAAAACAGAATCCTGCATCATCCCCAGAACACTGAGCAGGGGCTTTTTCGGTTTAAAATGGATAAGCTGTAAAATGCAGTATTCTTATGGTTCTTTCCAAAGTCAATTTCATTATGGAATTTGTGGTGTCGCTCTGTGAAGGCATGCATGCATGCTCACATGCTTGTGCTATTCAGCTATTTCTGTCACTTTGCAGGAAACTGGCTGTGGTCAGATATCAAGAGCACAACGTAATCAGGTGAGTACACACACAGCAGTTCACATGTCAAGAGAAGGAAGAGTACAGAAATCATCTAGGATGGACCTGAGTACTTCATAGATTTCATAGATTTCATAGACATTAGGGCTGGAAGGGACCTCAGAAGATCATTGAGTCTAGCCCTCCGCCCGAAGGGCAGGAAGTCAGCTGGGGGTCATAGGATCCCAGCAAGATAAGCATCCAATTTACTCTTGAAGGTGTTCAGTGTAGGTGCTTGAACCACCTCCGATGGCAGGCTGTTCCAGACCTTGGGGGCTTGGACAGTAAAGAAATTCTTCCTTATGTCCAGCCTGAAATGGCCTTGCAGTAGTTTATAACCGTTCGACCTTGTCATCCTTTGGGGCGCTCTGGTGAACAAACGTTCCCCCAGGTACCGGTGGTCACCCCGATAAACTTATAGGTGGCCATCAGATCACCCCTGAGCCTACGCTTTTCCAGGCTAAAGAGCCCCATGGCTCTCAGCCTGTTGTCATAAGGTCTGTTTTTCTGACCTCTGATCATTTGCGTGGCTCTTCTCTGGACTCTCTCAAGCTTCTCCACATCCTTTTTTAATTGTGGGGCCCAAAACTGGACGCAGTACTTCAGCTGCAGCCTGACCAAAGCCGAGTACAACAGGAGAATGACGTCCTGGGATTTGCTTGAGAAGCATCTATGGATACAAGCCAGCATTTTGGTCACTTTACTAGCTGCAGCATCACATTGCAGGCTCATGTTCATCTTGCGGTCGATGATGACCCCCAAGTCTCTTTCTTCCATAGTACTAGCCAGCATAGCACTGCCGAGCCTATAAGGATGCTGCAGGTTTTTCCTCCCAAGGTGGAGAACCTTGCATTTTTCAGTGTTAAACACCATCAGGTTCTCGTCTGCCCATTTGC